TGGTTGAGAAGAGGCGGCAAAACACCTAGCAGGCTAGGCGGAAGGATACACACCCACACTGGTATCAGTAATCCACGGTGGTTCTTTAATACGCATTCTTCAGCAACCGTATAAAAGCCCGGCTGAACGGCTGCGGCTCAACAACAAAATGCCCAGCGTTCATACAACCCAAGCGCTGCAAACAAAACAAAAAAAAGGGGTCTGGAAAAGAAAACATAAGTCCGTCCCTCGTTAAGCACGAGCGTGAAGGCACGTGTCCTCATAATCCCCGAGCGAGAGAGCGAGAGCAGTGGCACACACTGATGACACCATCAACCCTCGACTTGGGTGTCTTAAAGGGACACCACACCATAATGGCTGTTACATATTCCCCCCCGGGTTAAACAAAGGCTGTCCCCAGCCGAACACAGCAAAGGTACAGTTCAAACTTAACCAGCCTCCATACATGGTCAGCAGGATAAGACGTTAAAAACCAAAATAGGGGAATGTACAGTCCAAAATTGACAAACTGGCATACATGACAGTGTCCCACATGGTGAATGCCCATTCAAATAAATGTCAAAGAAAGAAAATAAGCTTAGGACAGCCAGGACAATGACAGAATGAAATTCCCTCTTATTGTTACATTGCGTTTCCACCGTTTTCCCAAAAATTACAACAGTAAGCATGAACATATTACCACAACATGAAACAGTGAACAAATTGACTCAACAGCTTGACACAGTACACGAAACACATCAAAAAGCAAAACAAGTCACTTTATGTAAATCTGTCATATGAAAAGGGTTGGTCCACCTATTGACGACTAGTCAGTGGTGACTCTAGGAACAGGTCTCTGGTCTGAGGTCATAAGAACCTCCAACAGCACACCCATGGCAGCAGGAGGTGAACTGTTAACTCTGTCTCCAGAGCAATGCTCAGCAGTCTCTTGAAAGATGTTCTGGTCCAGAACAAGCAGGACAGGTCAGACGGTCAAAGTCAGTCTCAGCAGCGGTGCAGGCTAAAGACATGCGGGAGTTGTCGTCAACGCGTCACAGTTCATGTGGCCCGGGACTGGAAGAGCAGGAGGAAGACTGCTGTCGGCGGGACACTGAGATCCAAAGCTGCTGAGGCCATTTAGCTTTCATCGCTGCGCTAGATCAAAGCTGTGGTCCCAGGTAGAATGGTTGCAGTTTCGCAACATGAAAAACTCCACTTTCTCTCCCAGTGTCCACTGTGGTGAGAGAGTATTCACAATCGACATCCTCTTGAGAGATCGGTAGGGACATTGTAAAGGGGGCCAACTTGCAGAAAAGTTGGACGATGCATCTGATTTTGGGTGTGACTTTTGTCCGCTAAGTTATTTAAAGGACTAGTTTATGTCAATGGATGAATTTACTGACTGACGCGCAGAAGAAATAGTTCTTTATGGAGCCTAGATGGTGTGAATGATGAGACCAAAGACTGTCATGTCTTGTACCAAAAATATATTGAGTAAATAGGGGAAAGGGGAAATGGAACAAAATATTTAACACAACACACAACATAAATGTCCACAATTAAATAATAAATCAGTGCTGTGATTTTTCTGTGCAAGAGTCCTTTTGCTAAGAGTCCTTTTTTTGGTCCTTTTCTTTTTAAAGTTCACTTTTAAGGTATTCCTCCTTAGGGTCCAGCTTCATACAAGGGGGAAATATGTCCGTAATCCAAAGACGGCTAAGTGGGGGAAAAGAGGGGAAAACAAAGAATGGTCCTACCGGCTCGCCACTTCAATATGAAGAAGATCAATTCAAAGGGGAAAAAAAACCTGACCTGTAGGTCAGAAAAATGTCCATTAGCACATCAAGTTCAATTCAGTTTACCGGTAAACAAATATATTCTTCTGCAAGTCTAGGTAACAATGCAAATCATAAATCATCATCATCAATGTACAACAGTTAAATCATTAATCATCTTGGCTACGTAGCTTAATCTATACATTCCAGTAGCGTTCGCTACAAACAATACAAAAACAACAATAAAGAAAAACAACTGTCTAACAGACAGCATAGCCGAATTCAAGGCAACACATAACAATAATCATTCAATCGCACTTTGTTTCAAAGTAAGCCCATAAAAATGCTTAAGTAAACAGAAGTGTTCAAAAACAGCGGTTTTTGAACCGGAGTTCTGCTCGCGGTGGGAACGCTGCCGCACAAAGTCATTTTTTAATCGCGAAAACGATCGGCTGGTTACTGACAACCAAAGGTTGTAAGATATTAAGGACACTTACCGCTGAGTTTAAAGTTTAAAGATGAATTGAGGAGAGAAAACGCTTTGTTTTCCAATACCGCTCTAAATGCCATAAGCTCACAGCCACAGCAGGAGTCGAACCCGGAAGTATCCCTCCACAGCCGGTTTTCAGAGTTGCCGCGACGTGAAAGGAGCCAATCAGAAGAGGGACCTCAAATCAGCTGACGTGGGTCATGTGACAGGGAGTAGTTGATATGGGTTACAGGTTCCCCCCTCGATCTCATGTACGTCCCTGTACATGGTGGTTGGGTCCGGATGACAGGTTGTTCAGTGGCAGTAAGCAGATGGTCCTCTTCATCCTCCAGTGCATGAGTAAAGGCAGTGGTTAAGCCATGGACTAGTGCCTGAATACTCTTCAAGATGGGCTGACCAAGCGTAGAGTATTGTAACCGGTCTGGAGGTTTCCTGGTCCGAGTTGATGTTCTCAGAGGTTCTAGTTCAGAGCTGGAGGTGTCAGAGTTAGATGGTAGATCAGCAGCAGAGGACATACTGGACTCAGTCGGCGATTCAACATTGGTAGGTTCAGCAGAGGACAGACTGTCCTCTGATTCCAAGTCGCTGATCCAAATTGTATCTCAACAGAGGACCAGGAACTTCCTCAGATATCACACAAGATGACAGTCTTACCCCCTCTGACAAGGGTTTCTCGCAGCATCGTAGCCGGATTCCCAGCCTATGCACTGCTGCCAAAAACAAAAAAAGTGATGCCCGAATAGCACGGTCACGCAAGACTGTCGCGATCAGATGTTAAATAGTCGTGCTGAAACGCAGGCGCAACGACTACGTTTAGCAGATTATCGATAGTGTGGAAATCGCAGAATACCTGACACAGGATGGTCGAATACACCTACTATGAGCCATACACGATTCATCCATACAGTCGTACGATCTGAGTTGTGCACAGACCGCATCATCATACGACTGATGGAACTGGCTCCCAGATTATTTTAACGTTTGTTCGACTAGTCTCAGCCTTGATATGCGCGATACCACTCCAGACATTAGCTAAATTAGACGAAGCGGATCCCAGAGATTACATGAGTATCAGTTTTGTACTTCTTCTCGTCGGACCAGTACACTCACGGCGACAAGACTTTCCGCCTCTTTACCCTCACTAGCATAGATCTCGTTGAGGTTTTCCCATTTGTCTGCAAGTTGTACGCTCGATCCGTTTCGACACATCACCAGCACCCTGCGACCAACCCGCCATGCAGACGGAGTTTGAGGCCGATTATGGCTTGGTCGTGAAACGGTCTTCTGTTGTTCTTCCAACGTAGCGTTCTCCCCCAGCCCAGTGCAATGTTGACCTCTGGTTCAAAATGGACGTCAGCTAATCTGGACATATTGCGAAGTGCGGTGGATGCCGTCCACCAGCGACAGTCCAAAAAACCAGCAATCGCCGGAGCCAGGCGAAGGTTCCACCAAACATCGAGCCTCAACTCTAGGGACGTGAGTACTCCAGTACATCCACTCGGATCGGCACAGTTGTATGCGGGGAACCAATCGCACGACAATACCGTCATTCGCAATATGTCCAGAACCTGAAGTCAAATCTAGAAAAGAGCTACAAAATTGCCATTGGCAATGCGGAGAAGCTCATGGAAAGAAACAAGAGCCGTTTCGACCAACATATCACCCCCTCTGAACTGGACGTTGGTGACAGGGTGCTGGTACGTAATGTGAAACTCCGAGGCAAACACAAAATTGCAGACAAATGGGAACCAGACATCTATGTGGTGGTAAAAAGAGCAGAAAATCTTCCAGTGTACACTGTCCGACCAGAGAACAAATCCAAACCGATTCGTACTCTACACAGAGATCTCCTATTACCATGTGGATTTTTGCCGCATTCCACTAGAACCAACCGAACAACTGTAAAACCAACCGGGAAGCAGTCATTCAACCTTTCTGATGAGGACTGTGCACAACCTCAGTCAGACGATGAGGATGAAATGATACCGCATCAATGGTATGATCCTGTCTCAGAGCCTCTGCGATTCACCACTGTCCATAATCTGCCAGAACCGTCATCCGCCGTTCCAGCCACTGAACCTTTACCATCTGATACACCAGTCTGTGAACCTGCTACGCTCCCTTTGCCTTCTCTTGAGCCAGCAGAGAGCGACACCCCTGACTCAGAAACCCCTGTCAAGGAGGAAGCTCCTGATACTGTGGAATCAGAGGACAGTCTGTCCTCTGCTGAACCTACCAATGTTGAATCGCCGACTGAGTCCAGTATGTCCTCTGCTGCTGATCTACCATCTAACTCTGACACCTCCAGCTCTGAACTAGAACCTCTGAGAACATCAACTCGGACCAGGAAACCTCCAGACCGGTTACAATACTCTACGCTTGGTCAGCCCATCTTGAAGAGTATTCAGGCACTAGTCCATGGCTTAACCACTGCCTTTACTCATGCACTGGAGGATGAAGAGGACCATCTGCTTACTGCCACTGAACAACCTGTCATCCGGACCCAACCACCATGTACAGGGACGTACATGAGATCGAGGGGGGAACCTGTAACCCATATCAACTACTCCCTGTCACATGACCCACGTCAGCTGATTTGAGGTCCCTCTTCTGATTGGCTCCTTTCACGTCGCGGCAACTCTGAAAACCGGCTGTGGAGGGATACTTCCGGGTTCGACTCCTGCTGTGGCTGTGAGCTTATGGCATTTAGAGCGGTATTGGAAAACAAAGCGTTTTCTCTCCTCAATTCATCTTTAAACTTTAAACTCAGCGGTAAGTGTCCTTAATATCTTTCAACCTTTGGTTGTCAGTAACCAGCCGATCGTTTTCGCGATTAAAAAATGACTTTGTGCGGCAGCGTTCCCACCGCGAGCAGAACTCCGGTTCAAAAACCGCTGTTTTTGAACACTTCTGTTTACTTAAGCATTTTTATGGGCTTACTTTGAAACAAAGTGCGATTGAATGATTATTGTTATGTGTTGCCTTGAATTCGGCTATGCTGTCTGTTAGACAGTTGTTTTTCTTTATTGTTGTTTTTGTATTGTTTGTAGCGAACGCTACTGGAATGTATAGATTAAGCTACGTAGCCAAGATGATTAATGATTTAACTGTTGTACATTGATGATGATGATTTATGATTTGCATTGTTACCTAGACTTGCAGAAGAATATATTTGTTTACCGGTAAACTGAATTGAACTTGATGTGCTAACGGACATTTTTCTGACCTACAGGTCAGGTTTTTTTTCCCCTTTGAATTGATCTTCTTCATATTGAAGTGGCGAGCCGGTAGGACCATTCTTTGTTTTCCCCTCTTTTCCCCCACTTAGCCGTCTTTGGATTACGGACATATTTCCCCCTTGTATGAAGCTGGACCCTAAGGAGGAATACCTTAAAAGTGAACTTTAAAAAGAAAAGGACCAAAAAAAGGACTCTTAGCAAAAGGACTCTTGCACAGAAAAATCACAGCACTGATTTATTATTTAATTGTGGACATTTATGTTGTGTGTTGTGTTAAATATTTTGTTCCATTTCCCCTTTCCCCTATTTACTCAATATATTTTTGGTACAAGACATGACAGTCTTTGGTCTCATCATTCACACCATCTAGGCTCCATAAAGAACTATTTCTTCTGCGCGTCAGTCAGTAAATTCATCCATTGACATAAACTAGTCCTTTAAATAACTTAGCGTGACAAAAGTCACACCCAAAATCAGATGCATCGTCCAACTTTTCTGCTAAGTTGGCCCCGCTTTACACGGGTCCCTACCGCATCTCCAAGAGGATGTCGGATGTGAATTATGAATCTCTCTCACCACAGTGGACACTGGAGAGAAAGTTGGAGTTTTTCATGTTGCAAACCTGCAACCATTCTACACCTGGGCCACAGCTTTATCTGGCAAACATGAAAGCTAAAGGCAGCTTTGGATCTCAATCCCCCAGACAGCAGCTCTTCTCCTGCTCTTCCAGACCCAGGCCACAATAACTGTGATGCTGTTGACACAACCCCCATTGTCTCTAGTGACACCGCTGCTGAGACTGACTTTGACCGTACTGACACTGTCCTGCTTTTCATGGACCAGAAATCTTTACAAGAGACTGCTGACATTGCTCTGGAGACAGAGATTAACAGTTCACCTCCTGCTGACAATGGGTGTGCTGTTGGAGGTTCTTATAACCTCAGACTGAGACCTGTTCCTAGAGTCACCACTAACTAGTCAGTCAATAGGTGGACCAACCCTTTTCATATTGACTGATTTGACCTAAAGTGACTGTATTTGCTTTTTGATGTGTTTCGTGTGGTCATGTTGGCAATGTTTTCATGTTGTGGTAATATGTTCATGCTGACTGTTGCAGATTTAGGGAAAATAAAAAAGCAACGACAAAGAGGGAATTTCATTCTGTAATTCTCCTGGCTATCCTAAGTTTATTTTCTTTCTATAACATTTGTTCAAATGGACATTCAACATGTGGGATACTGTCATGTATGCCAGTTTGTCAATATTGCACTGTGCATTTACCTGTTTTGGTTTCAACATCTTATCCTGCTAACCATGTATGGAGGCCGGTGAAGTCTGGATTGTACCTTTGCTGTGTTCGGCTGGAGACAGCCTTTGTTTAACCCGGGGGAAATATGTAACAGTCACAATGGTGTGGTACCTCTTTAATGTAACATAAGTCGAGGGTTAATGATGTCATTAGTGTGTGCCACTGCCCTCTCTGTGACTTATGGAAGCAACACTTGCATGCAAATACATGGAGAGAGACGGCTTTATATGTTTTACTCCTCCAGAAACCCTTTGCAACGTTACAGGTTGTATGAACACTGTCTGTCATGTTTGATAAGCAGCAGCCAGTCAACCAGGCCTTATATGTTTGTTTGTTTGTTTTTTTGTTGTTTTTTGCCTGTCCCGTTTGGCTCCTTTGCCATCAGAATTATTGTTTAAAGGCAAAGAAAGATGCCCAACAGATTTACTTAACCAAATGGACCATCCCAGCCTTGCCGTAATGGTCTATTTGA